CACTGTCGGAGGGTCAGCGCTGAGGGAGTCCCGCACTGTCGGAGGGTCAGCGCTGAGGGAGTGCCGCACTGTCGGAGGGTCAGCGCTGAGAGAGTGCCGCACTGTCGGAGGGTCAGCGCTGAGGGAGGGACGCACTGTCGGAGGGTCAGCGCTGAGGGAGCACTGTACTCTCAGGGTGTCAATATTGAGGGAGCACCGCACTGTCGGGGCATCTGTGCTGAGGGAACGCTGTATTTTTGGAGATGTCACCCAATAAGTAAAGTCCCTATGTGAGTGATGAGGGGGATATTGAAAGCCTCATGCTATTAGTGGGAGCAGGGATGGGGAGATGTGATCTTTCCTTTGTGAATGCTGCTCCCACTCAATTTTGCTTCCAGTGGAACAGTTCCCATTCCCATGATCCTCCTACCTGTCACAGGAATGCAGTTTACCTCACCAATGGAACTGTTTGTTGTGTTAGGATAACGGTGGGAGGCTGGATGCTTCAGTGAGGTTCCATTGAAAATGAAGAAATAACCCTTCCAAGAAGAGCTTGAAATGTACAGGTTAGAATTATGCAAAAATTTTAAACAAAGGTTTGTGATAAAAAGTATGACGTAAGCTGTGGGGTCTTAACATTTAATAAATAGCAACTCATCGCATGACTTTCTTATTGTAAGGATTTTCCTTTGAATACCTTTATATATGATTAATATCTTCTTTGATAAGAACAATGAAGCTGTGCAGATCATATTAAACATGTAGTGCGTCTGTCTCCTCACAGGCAGAGACCTTTACAGCAGTTCTGTCGCTGATCATTAAACCATAAGCTCCTAATGTGTATTGTGACAGCTCAGTAATTACATCTGTTTATCAGATGTGAACAAGGGTTTAAATAGAGTGGACTTTAAGTAAGGCAAGCACAGGCTCTAACCTCAGCACTGGCACTGGGGATCCTCATTCTCGCTCCTCTCTCTCTCTCTCTCTGTCTCCTTGTGCTCTCTATTCTCCCCTCACTCCTGCATCCTCAGTCTCACAGGATAAGAAAGAGAGTCCACATCATGCAGAGGTTTTGGTTTACCCTGGCCCTCTGGCTGGTCATCTCAGAGTTTCAGCTGGAGGCTGATACTCGTAAACCTGTTCTTGGAGTAAAACTCTGTGGGAGAGAGTTTATCCGGGCAGTCATTTTCACCTGCGGAGGCTCCAGGTGGAAAAGGACAGGAATAAATCCAGCAGGTAAGAGCTACAAGGGAAACATTTTGCCTGTGCCACTGACACGCAAAATAGCACCCAGCACAGCGCTAAGTGATCATCCCAGCAGATGGACTATCCACTGGTTACTAGATCCTAGTGGGTAACCTGCTGGTTATCAGATCCCAGTGGGCACAATGGAAAGAAGAAGGCAGCAGGATTCCTAAAGGAGCTGTGATCCTCTCAGTCGCTGCCTAGTTAGCTGATGCTCATGCCCGAGTGGGCAGAGTGAGATCTCCCCCAGCATGAGATAGAAATCAAATGTCCAGGGGCTGCCACGCAGCTGTAGCCAAAGCCCAGGTGGATCTCAGTCTGTGCTGTTCCAATGAAGGGGAAACAATTGGCACTGCTGAGGAGCTCAGGGCCTGGGTGCAACAGTCAAAGTAAATTATTTGTCATTCAGTCATTCACAGGATGAGGGCATCGTTGGTTAGGCCAGCATTTACTGCCCATCCCTAATTGCCCAGAGGGCAATTAAGAGTCACCCACATTGCTGTGGGTTTGGAGTCACATGTAGGCCAGACCAGGTAAGGATAGCAGTTTCCTTCCCTGAAGGACATCAGTGAACCAGATGGGTTTTCCCAAAATTAACAATGGTTTTGTGGTCATTATTTGATTCCTAATTCCAGATTTTTGTTTTTGAATTCATCTGCTGTAGTGGGATTCCTTCCCAGGTCCCCAGGACATTATCAGGGTTTCTGAATTAATAGTCCAGTGATAATGCCAAAAGGCCATCATCTTTCAGAGAGTACTGCCTCACAATTCTGTCATGTTTGAATTGCACACTCATTCCAGTCCTGATACTTGTCAGTTCTGATGTGTCAGGACTGATGGTTAAAATTGAATCAGAGGTCAAGCCCTGTCAACTGGCTTTTGAGAGTCTGTTACTTCAGGTTTCCTGCCCTGGTTTTTGGTTGTGGGGAGATGGGAGGCTGATCACCAAAGTTAGTTCATTGGGATAACAAGATGTAGAGCTGGATGAACACAACAGGCCAAGCAGCATCATCGGAGCAGAAAAGTTGATGTTTCGGGTCGGGGCCCTTCTTCAGGAAAAAAAAGATATTTAATGATGAGTTTCCATGTTATGGGTTATGGTGTGTTTATCTTCCAGATATCTCCAAGAACCCCGGCTACTTGGAGAAGACGATAAAAGATACCAATTTCGGTGGCTGGCCTCTTTCAGAAGATGTCACCATCTCTGAGCCAGAGAGTTGGAGAGTGCTGGTAGGACTGGGGGGAGAGAGCCGAAGCAGAAGAAGCATTTCCGATGATGTGCTGCAGGCTTTGAGAAGCACCGATAGGAAGGGGAGGGATGTGGTGGCAGGTCTGTCCAGTGCTTGTTGTAAATGGGGTTGCACCAAAAGTGAGATCAGCTCACTCTGTTAGAGTACACCTCGGCATCATCGACAACCTCCTGCTCACCTTGACATACAACAGAAGCCTGAGGACTGGCGTGAAATGTGCAAATAGCTCTCCTGCCAAGATCTCAAGACTCAGAGGCCGCGAAAGTATAAATATCAGTATAAATATCTGTGCATGATACAGGAACTGTGATCAAAATTGAGACCGGCAATTTGCACGATGCTGACTTTTTGACAGAGAGGCATTGGTTGAAATGTTTGATGTCTTGACTAGAGATTAACTTTTTTTTTGGTTTTCCATCAAGCCTTCATTGTTCTTATTCAAGGTTTCAGTCAAAGTCTTAATATGTTCCCATCATGTTTGTACAGTCTGCTTTTCATTAAAAAAAGTCTACAGCATCACAACAGATTCAAGTTTTATTTGTCAATGTTCAAGTGGGAGCAATTCATTCACTTTCCATTGTACTGAAAGAATTATTAACCAGTCGCACTGTTCCCCAGAACCACACACACTGACTCTCACTGGGGTACAGTCCCACACACACACTGACTCTCACTGGGGGGCCACAGGGTCCCACACACACACTGAGTCTCACTGAGGTACAGTCCCACACACACACTGACTCTCACTGGGGTACAGTCCCAC